CTTGAATCACTGTATGGCCATTTTGTTCTAATATAGGACTACTCAGCAATACACATCCGCGATCTCATGCGGGACTCAAACCTAGGACTCATGAATTCAACTATTAAATCACTGCTCACTAGTAACTAACTTCATAAGGTGCTTCCTGGAATTGTAATGAGAAGCAGTGATCAGTGGAGTCCAACCGGGTGAATGTGCCACACAATTTCGCGGATTAGTTAAAGTTAAACATTAACACCATTGGATCCCGCCTGGCTGAATGGTTTAATGGTTGAGGGCTCGCGGGCGAGATTAATAGGTCCTAGGTTACAATCTTGCGAGTCGGGATTGTGGATAAGCACTGTTGAGGAGTCACACAATAATATAAAACGGCCATCCAGTGCTTCCAGGCTTTCCATGATGGTCTAACTTCAATTGACTCATGATCTCAACTATTGAAAACACTAAAGCAGCAAGTGATATATGATTAGATCTTTAATATCAGTAGTCAATAATGTATGTCTATAAACAACGAATATTTTTTTCCCGAATGTTAATGTAGTTTATTTTAAAGTTTAAAAACAAAATAATGTTGTAAACAATTTACGTATTCTTCCTCTCGATTTATGTTGTTTTGGTTGTTTTCTTTCTTTATTATTTGAAAAAAAGAAATGGTTAGAATTTCATTATGGACCTTGTATTTGTATATATTGGATATCCCTGTTATTGATTGATTTCCGAGATTAAATTTGATCAAGGCATGTTAAGATATGAGTTTATTAGATACTAAATATATTGATTTAGCATTGGGATCTAATCATATAAATATTATGTTCAACAAACAAGTGAATGGTAGCCCCTTTGGGGCTACTGCCGGTCTTAAGCCCGGATAAGGGAGGAGTGGTGAGCATGGGGTCAGCGGCCCCATCCCGTATAAGAACTACTCGCTAAAAAACGCTAACCAGAAAAATAATAATTCAAATAATCGGATAGTATAATGAATTACTTTTAAGGCTTCTAAAGTGATAATTAATGAAATGAAGTTTTAATGTTCACTGAACAATGGAATTAAAAGAACACTTATCTAATGAGTCTTAAAACAGAATAAGCATCGGTCTTGAATTCTAATGTTCACCATGATCTATGATGTAATTCTTACAGAGGTGAATTAGATATCTATTTCATAAATTAAATCTTTAAAGCTTATCATATCATACGTTTGTTAGCACGAGTTTTAAATACCTGTATAGACTGTTGTTATTTAGAAATTTTCTATTAACAGTTACTTGGGAAAACTTAAATGAAACTTGTATACGCTCACAATTCCCCAACTTAAAACAACTAACCATTGATAATATAAGTAGTAAATGACTTGATTTAATAATATTAATAATGGAACTCAAAACAATTGTCAACCAACACCTAAGTCAGAATTTTCAATACAAATGTTAAGATAAATCTAGTATATGAGGCGGAAACTTGATGAATTACGAAAGCCAGCATCCAGAAGATACAATTGTTTGTTAACAGTTGGCCAGACACTATCAGCAACAACCTATTGTGGGAGAGAAATCAGATTCCAGTGGAGGAAGAAATCAGGAGGAAGCGCTGGAAGTGGATAGGACACACATTGAGGAAATCACCCAGCTGCGTCACAAGACAAGCCCTCACATGGAATCCTCAAGTCCAAAAGAGGAGAGGAAGACCAAGGAACACATTACGCCGGGAAATGGAGGCAGGCATGAGAAGAACGAACAATAATTAAATAGGAATAGAAGGGAAGAATCAGGACAGAAGTGATTGGAGAATGCTGGTCGGCGGGTAATGCTCCATTAGGAGTAACAGACGTAAGTAAGTACTAAGTAAGTTAATAATAATGAAAACAGTCCTAAGGTTATAAATGGAATATGCTGATAAAAACAATGAAATTATATTGAAATTGAATATTTCTAAGGGGAAAAGAGCAAATGAATAAGTTAATATTACTACTATAGTTATTCGTCAATGATAGTCATTTAAACTTTCATATTATAAATCATGATTTTTGTAAACTTTAAATAAGAATTTTATACTACTAACAAAAATTAAACCACTAGCCAATAACTTCATGGATAGATATTATGTCTTGATTTATTGATTAAACAAACTCATAACTTTTAGAGTTAAGATAAGTAGAAATCTAAGAAGGCTTTTTTCAGAAACAAAGTAATCAGTATTGTAATTTTGCACCTAAATAAGTCGGTTATTTTATACAATTCTTAACAATATCATGTTTATTCATTCATGTTTAACTGAGAGAACTTTAATATGCTAGCAACTGGCTAAATTTAAGCACTTTGATAGTATGATATGTATTACTGATGGTAGTGAATTTCGGTCTCAAAATAGTACCAACTAGTTAGGTGAGTGGTAATGTGGTACGGCGATTTGAAACAATGTAATTATGTGCCATGTTGTACTGTGCGTTTGACGGACTGACTCAATTAGTCAAACATGAAGGTATTTTTATTATTTAGTTTAAATGTGACGCAGTGTTTTAGGTTTTGTGTTGAGTACTTTAATTACAATTTAAAGCTCCTATAACTAGGATTGAACACAAACTCTTCTCTTTCACAGCTTTGAAGTAATCACATTTCTGTATAATTCATAGTCAAACAACTTTGAGGTGAAACTGAAAACAAAACTAAAATAGACGAACACTTAATACTTTAGTCATTAAATCACACATCGAACGTATGTTTGCGATCATCTTATGCTTATCTATGTGTATGGGTCTTTAAAGCCCACACAGTTGACCAAGGAATGGTATTTCTGACAATTGTTTAGTTTGAGTCGGCTGAATAACATTTAGTTGATAATTATTGGTGCATATAATGACAAAGGTTCGTTTGCTAAACTTCTTGACAAAACATTATTTATTGACTGTCATGTAGGTAGTTACAGACTATGTGGTTGAGTTCCACTTGAGTTTAGTAACTGAAAAATAAAGACACTATATACCATGGCTAAAATCGATCGTAATGGTGTAGGTGTATACGCCATTTATTTTATATCAGGTCTACGGTCCCAACTACGTCCTATAATCTTTCTATATCTAGTCGCTACTACCGCTATTTATGCTGTGGCTGCTCCTAGTACTCTCCGATATGTCATGTTAGTCTCGTCATGATGTGTTAAAATGGAGTGATAATTTAAACTGATCCATATAGGTGTCACGTTTCTACACTCCAAACGACGTACTTACCTTGTGTTTCACTTTGATCTCGATTTCAAACTCGATAGTTTGTAAAAGCCAACAATGCTGAACGATATAATTTACTTCACTGCTCTAACATCGTGCGTCACTATTCAATTCGGACGGCAGATTTTAATAAATAATTTTCTCTTCAATTATATTCCTATCAATTTGTACTCGAGTATACAGTAATATTCATATACACGCATATGAAATAATATCATGTTAATCAAGGTAATTTAAGTCACTTACAACGAGGAAATAGAGTACATGAATTAACGCATTAAGTAAGAAGTAAGAACTGATAATGCGATTACAAGTACACTAAATATGGTAAAACCAATAAAAACCCGAATGAATGTTTTATGGTAGGAAGTAGACCTAAAACTTCAAAAAATAGACATTAAAATAACATACATGAGAAGCTATGAAGACTACACAGTAAAAGGTGCACAAATAATTAAACACGAAAGAATATATTTAAAAATGGATCAAATAAATAAATAAACAAATGGTTTGGGGAATAGTAGTAAGCAAAATCGTTTGTTAGACTTAATTCGGCTAGGGCAGAGACAAGGGTGTTACGAATTTCTTAAGAATATGAAGTCTCGAGTTGATAGCTCGAATCCACCGAACTTCTGTTATATTTAAGACTCGAGATTAAAACCTATGAGAAAAGTGGTAGGCATGCGACAAACTACTTTAAATTACTTGTTTTAAACTACTGCACGACTACTAGCTATTACAAGTGACATAAAGTAGTTCTATAGATTCTATTTATTGATGTTATCAATCACCCATAAATTCTCGTGATTGGTCTGACACTTTCAGATATGCTTATGAACATTAAAGTAAAACCTGACGAAGAATTAAATAAAAACAACATTATTTCTTATACATGTCCAAAACTAAAAAAACTAAAGATTTTAGCAACTCAAGATGTTTCAGGGTGGAAAAAGCTTATGACACCGCGGCGCTTTTATTAGAAACTCTCGTCATACTAATTCGTGTCGTTATATTTTAATGTGTATCTGTAGATGTCAAATAAAGGCTTACAAATATATGTTTAAAAATTTGCCAAGATTATGATGTTACTCAGACCAACCTAGGATTTAATTTTTGCTGATGTCTTCAGAAATTATGTATGCTGCTTTGAAAATCGTGCTTAGTAATGGATTTCAATCGAGAGGTAATACAGTTCTTTGAAATGATAGTATGCGATGCATAATTTAGTTTTATATTCATTGTAGGTACGTCCGAGCCAGGAGATATTTCATTTCAGTGAATCATATCTTATAAAAACACAAGAATACAAATTGAATCCGGAATTAATGATTACAGGTTACTGTCAATTTATTTATGCTAATTAATACAGTATTTCTAAAAAAGCATCACAGAAAAGAGTCGAGTATATTTTAATTACATCCCACTGAAAAACCATAAGTGAAATCTATATAATTAAATGTACACAAAATAGCACATTTTGATCATACGCTTTCTTCAGAACTAAATTATTGTCAAACGGAGATCTACTAAAATATTCCATCGATGTCTCGTTAAAATGTGTTACTTGTAACATTATTTTATACCATATTCAGTGCTATTCTAACATCAATATAGCAGAGCAAAAGTAACCTTATGATATTGTGTGTAACCAAGCTCTAAAATGTTTTTGGTACTAACAGTATACATGATGTGAATGAACAATTTTAAATGTAAAAACGTTACATCAATTCATAAGAAACTAGGCGAAAACGAATGATGATAAAATATATGCAAACCTCACTTTGAACGTCGGAAGGGAATTCGATGCAAAGTCTTGTGACATCTAGTTAAAACACTTGCACATTTCCTTGAAAGATTTGAAAATAACCATTTCATTCAAGGTCACAAAAATACATTTATTTGAATCATTAAAACAAGCATAAACAGATTTAATAAGATTCACATTTAAACGTGTAAGGAACAAAATTCGAAGTTTTTATTTCTGGTTATCTGTTTTCTTTAAAGTCTTTCAACCTTTGAGGGTGTTCAGCCCTTGAAAGGTAATCCTAAACGTCATAAATTCGGTGCAGAAACCGATCAATCCATAATTATTTATATCATATTTTACTGAATTCGACGTTTCGAAACACGAACATCAGAAATTATTCAAGTTATAAGTTCATATATATGTACATTTCAATCCCGTACATTGACTCGCTCACTCACTCGTTTGACCGCTAGAATTTCGACAATATTCCTTCATGCCTGATTTACGTACCTGTAGTTTTGGTTATCTGTTCATGATGCAATAATAAACGTAATCAACACTTCGTATTCTCCTTCTGAATAATACGCCGTTGGGGCTTTATCTAGTGGCGGTTATTAGAACGAAATTTACTCGAAGTTTAGGGACTATATTGAATACCGCTCACCACATCTGTAATAATGTCGTTTGTGTATACGGCAATCAAAGTAACTATAGAACCTGGATACGATGATGGGTTGATCCATGTTATGACTTCGACGTTAGCTAATTGGTAGCGCCATTCCGATCTAGCTCTAATAGGCTCACAATCATCTGATATCGATCATCTACGTCATTGATTTACAGAACTAACAAATCACGATAATTAAAGCACCTTGTTGTTTATTATAGATTGCTAAGATATTCTCAGGTTAATATTACATAATTCAAGTTGCACTCACAACAGATTAGTACATCTAAAAGTAGTTATTAAAGAAAGTGTTTGCAAAACGTTCAGCTACATAGATCTAAATTGAACATAACATTTTCGACATTCGTACAAATGTAACTTACAACGTTGGTAACACACATATCTCTCAGCGACGGCAAACCATGAGTGCAATAAAAGAAAGCAATTTACAGTCGTTTCGAAAGATGACGACTTCAACAAAACTGGAAACTAAAATAAAGTCAGGACGAATTACGGCATCCATATTAGCATAAAATCATGCCGGAAATGATAAACATCCCCTCATTATCGTACGGATCTTGTTGATTTCCGAAATAAGTGACAGTTATGACGCTTCATCTATAAATTTATGAGATATAGTTACTTTTACAGTTTTATATTGCTCAGAAGAGATGGTTATTAGTCATAAAAGGAATTGTTCTTCGGTTAAGCTGCTTTCCGATCACGGAACTCGTTGCAGGTAAGTAATACTCTTTGAGAAGGTGAAGTGATAAGGAATTTGTTCTGGACAGTTCTATTCTTGCAGACCAGATATTCTTAGGTAGTTCGTAGTTCATAGGTAATTCCTATAGTATGGTCATGTGAACATTTTCGACATTGGCAACCAACGCAATGATGAATAATAAATAGTGAAATCAAACATCACATCTTCAGATAGCATGGATTCTCAAATGACGCTTCATGAGTATTACGGCAATAAACAAGGATAAATCAAATGAACATGGAGAGTAAACAAGTGTTTGATTGATCGCAGTTATATATTCAAATAAGGTTCCGATGGTACAAGACAATCGATGGATTAAAGCAGATGGAAAATGTTATGAGTGAAGTGACTTGTCAAATGCTCTGTAGACTGTACAATTTTGTTAGAACATTTCGATTTTGTCTTCATTTTGGAAATTGTTTTTCTTGTGGACACTTTATATTTGGTGCTGTACAAGGATCCTTACTTTGTCATCGTTATTCTTTGCAAAACAAAAATCAACGCAAATTTCCTACCCTTTCAGATTTACTACCATCAGCATATCAATTATGACATCGTCTAATCCACGCTTACCGTTCCGACAGTACTTTTGTTCAAACTTCTAGACCTTGGCGAAATTTATAAACACATTAGATGAGTTTGTACAAAAAGGTGTGGAATATAATGTAATTCAGGTTAGATAAATACTTCGATTGGGCGAAATCAAATGAATAGATGGCGCTCGAAAACCGGATCAGGTGTTAGGTCAATGTTCAGATCACAAAATCGAACCACACATAATACCTTGACAGTAACTACTTCAGCCCGTTGCGTGAAACAACCCAAGCAAATCATTTCATTCACTTAATGTTTTTAATTGAAACGACGGAATCGTGACCCAGCTTGGAGATGAAATTTATCAAAAAATGCTTTCATCATATAGTTATTTGTTCACTCTCGACAACATTTCTGTATGTAAACCAAATCACGTTGTCAACCGATTATATCACCTCTTCCAATCACAGGTTTATATCATTTTGAGACATTATAGTGACCTACTTTTGTCAACAGAACGCGATTGGTTCGATGAAAACAATTATTATTATAACCGATTGTACCAGTGATTGTTTTATTGTGCTCGTTTGTTTAACTGTGCTAATGACAGTCATTATACTTACGTACTCTTTCGTTGACTTTGAACTTGTACGAATTCGGTTACGCTCAGTAACCACGCTTGTACTCCTCTGGCACGATCTCGGTATTCTTTCGACACAACGAGATTGCCAACAAATACATCTCGACTACAGCCATCATCTGCCTTCTGATTTTTGGTCTACGGGGATCTTATTGGTTAATTGGCACGTAGTCTTGTAGCGGTGTTCATAGTCAAGCTCAACTCGACACGACGCTACATTTGGTGAGCCTCTGTCAAATCTTCCAAAGAAGGCAATTCGGTGAGTCTATTGTTTTATCTATCCACGTCTGTCGTATATTTTTATATTAATTAATATATAATATACTCGACATGACGGATAACGATAAGAAGAGTATTAATATAATAGACTCCGATGTACGTGTACCGAATCCTCGGCACTTTTTATTCGCGTGACGATAAATTCCACGCTTTATACGGGAAATTCCCCAGAATAACTAAACCACTCGAGGAGATTTCATCGGTGACCAATCGTGTGGTACACCACATAGTCACCCTCGGACCATCAGTCACGGCAAGACCACGCCGACTGGCACCGGACAAATTAGCTTTCGCTAAACGTGAGTTTGACAATTTACTATCTACTAGTATTATTCGTCATTCTCACAGTCCTTGGGCCTCTCCTTTACACATGGTGCGCAAAAAGGATGGGGTTAGTTGGAGACCATGCGGCGACTACCGAGCATTAAACGTAGTTACGCGCTTGATAGTTACCCCATCCTCCACATACACGACATCACGGCATCGCTCAAGGGCACGACTATCTTTTCTAAAATCGATCTGGTACGAGCATATCACCAGATACCAGTCGCTCTTGAAGACATCGAGAAAACTGCTATCACGACTCCTTTCGGTCTGTTTGAGTTCCTACGAATGCCATTTGGATTACGGAATGCTGCTCAAACTTTCCAAAGGTTTATCGATAGCATAGTACGAGACTTGGATTTTGCTCACGTCTATATTGGTGACCTGCTGATCGCATCATCAAACGTAGATGAACATTATCAACACCTTACGCTATTATTCCAACGCCTTTCGGATAATGGAGTAGTAGTCAACCCAGAGAAATGTGAATTGGGTAAATCAGAAATAATATTTCTGGGTCACATCATCAGTCAAGAGGGTATTCTGCCTTGCGAGGACAAAGTTCGAGCAATCAAGGAGTACAACGTGCCGTCCTCAATCAAGGAACTGAAGGCTTTTCTCGGTTTGGTTAACTTCTACCGATGTTTCATCCCTCACGCGGCAGAACGGTTACGACCATTAACCGATTTACTACGCGGTAATCCACGCAAATTAGAATTGAACGATACCGCACGTACTGCATTCTCAGAGATCAAAACGGCTTTCGCTCATCCTGACCAATCAGCCACGCTTAGTATAGCGGTTGATGCATCAGATTTCGCTATAGGAGCCGTCATGCAACAGAATATCTCCGGTAGTTGGCAACCGCTTGAATTTTTCTCACGACGCCTTACTCCCACGGAGACGAGATATGGCGCTTTTGGTCGCGAGCTGCTAGCAGACTACTGCGCCATCAAACATTTCCGGCACGCAGTAGAAGGACGCCAATTCATTCATAAGCCCTTAACGTATGCCCTGCATACCAAGTCTGACCGCTACTCACCACGAGAGTGCAGACATTTAGACTATAACTTCCAGTTCACGACAGACCTTCGTCACATTAAAGGCGAGTCGAACTATGTTGCCGATGCTCTATCACGTATCCGGACGAATGCAGTTAGCTTACCCGTGCTCGATCTTCCTGCTATGGCCGCCGCGCAAGCAAACGATCCTGTCTGTACAGAAGCACCACAATCTTCGTCCCTTCAGTGTCAGGAAGTACCCCTAGCTACTAGCTCAGGTACTATCCTATGTGATACTTCTACCGGTCTACCTCGACCCATCGTACCCTCTACCTATCGCCGTCTCGTCTTCGATGCCCTTCATGGATTGTCGCATCCAGGTATCGCAGCCACATTACGTCTCATCGCTGGACGATACGTCTGGCCGTCCATGAATAAAGATGTTCGTATGTGGGTAAAGCGATGCTTACAGTGTCAACGATCAAAAGTGCACAGGCACGTAGCTGCCCCCATTGGCACGTTCGCTACGCCTGATGCTCGCTTTGATCACGTACATATAGACATTGTAGGACCATTGCCACCATCGCATGGGTATTATCACATACTCACGTGCATTGACCGTTTTACAAGATGGCCCAAAGCTATTCTCATCACGTCTATCACGGCGGAGACAATTGCTCACCGCTTCGTAGAACGATGGATAGCATTGTACGGTTGTCCCTCGACTGTCACGACTGACCGAGGACAACAATTTGAGTCCGCATTATTCTCCTCACTGACCCGGCTGCTTGGTACGGAACGCATACGCACTACCGCCTACCATCCAGCATCGAATGGTTTAGTCGAAAGGTTTCATCGCCAACTCAG